CCCTGGGGCGGGGGGGACTTTCACTGGGGCCGGGCAGTGCGGTGGCTGCCCCTTTCCCCGGGGACCCGGAGGTGCAGTCACACCTCTGCTGGGGCTCTCACAGTGACCTGTGCTGAGAAAACATCCCCGTGGGGAAAAAGGGTCGGGACTCTCGCTTCGGAAAGAGAGATGCTGAAAGGAGATGCTCCAGGAGGGGTTTGGGCTTGTTTCTCACCCCCTTGCCCCAAACCCCCTTGCAGGGTGGGACACCCCTGCACGGTGTCACTGTCAGTGGTCCGGGTGCTGGGAGCCCGGCTGGCTCTGTCCGAAGGCTTTCTTCTCACGCACCCGCGACGCAAGGGCGTTGTACGAGGGGGCTGCCTCCCCGCACGCCTCCAGAAAGCCACCGGAGATGTTTTTAGGGCTTTATCTGGCCCTGATCTGGCCCCCAGCAGGGTTTTTTGCTGACTGTTGCAGTCTGGAGGCGATTAGAGAGAGCTCTGCTCAAGAGAAGTGTTTCCTGCCCCTTGTTTCCTGTTCTACCGACATCATCAGCCCAAAATTAGGTGACGAGATGAAGAAAGATCTTAGCAGCCCATTCTGCTCAACTCCGCGTGACCCTGGGCCCCAGGGCCGGTGGCTGACCCCCTCCCCTCTCTGCCCCCCACCCCAGGCAGCACCGGGCTGAGGACGGAGCATCTCGTGCTGGTGGTGGTCGTGCCCATTGCTGCTGTCCTGGTGCTCACCGGGGTCTTCGTGGCCACCCATTTGGCCGTGCCCATTGGTGAGTGTCATGAGGAAGGGGTGCCAGGGTGCTTGGGGGTCTGCGGGTGGAGTGACCCTTGCGGGGGGACAGAAGCTGCCCCCAGCTGACCCCAGTGAATGGACCAAGGGGCTGATCCCTGTGGGCACCTGACTTTGTGAGTACACTGGCCCTTGGCAGGAGCAAAATGCGTTTCTCTTGAAGCACCGAGTAAAAGGCAGGAAGGAAACCAGCTTCAAAGTAAAAAAGAAACAGAAGAGAAACGTGCCTGCACGTGACCTCCAATGCTTTGCCCAGATCGCTGAGATCGTCTTGCACCGTCTCAAGGGGAACGGAATGATCCCAGCCCAAATTAGAGAGAGCATCACCTCCCCCGGTGCCTCAGCCAGGCTGTGCCCCCCCTTCCCGTTCCAGGTGTAGTGACAAATCTGCAAAGGTGGCCTGTAGTGGCCAGAGACCCTCCGACCCCGGCCGGGCAGCTGCGGCAATAGGGATGCAGCCAGCGGGCACCGTGCTGGGGACGGATCCAGCACGGGCTCACGAGCAGGATGTGGCTTGCGAAGTGCCGGGGGTCCCCTCAGGTCCCTGCAAGCGACAGGACGAGAGGCAATGGCCTCAAGTTGCGTCAGGGGAGGTTCAGATTGGATATCGGGAAAAAGTTCTTTCCTGAAAGCGTGGTCAGGCCTTGGACCAGGCTGCCCAGGGCAGTGGGGGAGTCCCCATCGCTGGAGGGGATCAAAAAACACGTAGACGTGGCACTAGGGGACGTGGTTTTGTAAGCTTGGTTTAGGGTTGACAGTTGGGCTTGATGATCTTGGAGGTCTTTTCCAGCCTGGATGATTCCATGATTCTGTGACTCGGTGAATCGCTTTGTTCCCCCGCAGCCGGCCGGGAGCAGCAGCCTTCGCCGCTCGCCGAGGACAGCGCGGTGCACACCATCTACTCCCAAGTGCAGCGGGTGGAGGTGAGCCACAACCAGCACGGCCTCGGTGCCGGGGGGAAAATGGTGCTTTGGCAACGGAAACGCTCCTTCAGTGCCGGGACCCCCAGCGCGGCTGCAGGACCTTGCCAGGGT